AGGATTTAATTCCGGCTACTTTAGCATTGTAATGAATGTTCATCTTGGTTAGTAAGTTGCTTACTTGTTGAAAGTTAATTGCTTTTGTGCGTCATAGTATTTTGGAGCAAGTTTTTTGCACGATGGAAGCACAACTCCGCTGTCACCTCCAGAATACGTTGATCCATATGCGCTGCTGGAACTGGAAGATGAACGAATTTCCAAGGTAGCTAGGCTGCCGCCCCACTCCGCACCCTGCAGCTGATCATTGAACAAGAACGGATAACCCTGAAGCTTTATACGAACGAACTAGGGATTTCTGAATAGGTGCATATCCCATTCTTAGTTCCTTTTCTTTGTAAATGCCCACCAATTAAATGTCATTTGAACATAATGTATTTTTAATGTGTTTTTTAAATTTTTTAAATTAATTGAAATGCTGAATTTCGTATGACATCAAGGTGACATCGAAATTATTTTTCATTTCCGAAATTCTTATAACTTTTCATCAATGGTGAACATTGTAATCTTAATGGTTATAACTAAAGTTATCAAAACCGATTTAAGTCATTGAGCTGGTCAAGCAAGTGATTTGATGTTTAATGGTTTGATTGAGGTCCAACTTGTTTAAAACGTTTTACAGCTTTTCCAAATATATTTACATATAAGATAGAAATGTAGTGACTGAAATAGAATGTATTAATTAATATCTATTAAAAACTCAAATAGTCAAAATCCATAAAAAAAACATACCTATCTCAAGATCCACCCACCATCCCCTTGCCTCTTCCCCCCCCCCCCCCCCCCCTCCCCCTTGCCTCTCTCTTCTTCTTCCTCTCTAACGATTAGACCCTTAATTTTGTAGAGCTAGTTTTGGAGCACGACTTTGGCCAGACCTAGTCCAATCAGTCGCTCGACAGATGTGTCACAACCTTGATTATAATACTTGTGAATAACCATTCATAACTATTCTATTTAATGACATAGTCACTTAGTTGCCTATGGTTTAAAAGAAAATTGACATAACGAAAAAAGAGTTTGTCTGAAAAAGCGTAGCATAAATAGGAAACTCATGATGATAACATTTTGTCAATATTTATTTCTTTTGCTTGAGAAACAATACATATATTGTAATATTTAAACCTTAAAGTATTCTGCACAAAAAAATAACAAAATTAGTAAGAAAATAATATTTTCCATCCATACTCTATGCATGATTCGGGCCCAAATGTACACATTTTACCCCTCATTTCTTATTCGTTTAGCTTAGAATTTCATCGTTCCTCGACATATTTCACTCTAGGTTATGCTTGTTTTGATACGTTTTAGGTCCTGGCACGCGTGGAAGGGTCGAGGTCGAATTTTGGCAAAATTGGAGGTCAAAAAGCACAAAAACCGAAGGAAAGTCCGAAGTGAAGTGAAGGCGTCCAAGGAAACAGGCGTAGTTCACGGCCGGATGAGGCAGTTCACGGTCTCATAAGATCGTGAACTTCGACCACAAACCATGAACACCGAGGCATCCAGCGAGGTTCCTGAAGTTATTGACGACAAGGCAGTTTACGGTCTCTAAGACCGTGAACTGTGGCCATTGACCGTGAACCCAGGAAGCAAGGCTGTGCCTTTTGGAGACCACTGAGTTCACGGACGCGTTTCGGTGTTCACGGCCGTGAACTGGCCAACGCATCCGTGAACTGATCGCTTTCGGGTAAATATTAAGACAACAGTGGGGAGACAGAAAGTGGAGCTGATTTTTGGAGAAGAATTGGTTTCTCTCTCTAGGGTTTGCCCAAAAACACCAAAGGGGAGTTCTAGTGAGATAGAGAGAGTGCTAGAGTGATCTTGGGGCATCATTGGAGGCTTGGGTGGATATTCAAGCCTAGAAGAAGAAGAAGATCTTGAGCTAAAATTTGTAATTCCTCTCTCTCTCTCTCCCTAGAAACTCACTCTTTTCTCTTGTTTGTTGTAGATCCCTAACTAATACTTTGTAATTACTTGTTTAGATTGAATGATTGTCATTGGGTATTGTTTAATTCAATGCTTAAGGTATTATTCATGTTGATTGTGCATGCTTTTGCTTAGCAATCTAATTAGTCACTTTAACCTAGCTTAGAGAGGAAAATCCCCCTTCCAAGGGAGACTCAATCGAGTTGGTTTTCCTTTAGATTTTTAAACCACCTAACTAGGTTAATTTAGGGAAAACGTCAATGTTGAATTAAGCAAATTGGTTAAGCGTGGTTAAGCTGTCCAACCCTTGAGTTGAGTGAGGGAGTAAGTCAACCACCGATTGCCTAAACCGCGAGGGTTGAGTGACACGGCCTATATGCATCCCTCTGCGGTTCGCGGTTACCTTGCTCATAGAATCGTTCCAATCCAACGAGTCTTGGTAGCAAATTAGGGGGAAGCAACTCCTAGGTGAAGCTCCCTTAGTTATGATTTTCCTTCATTTACTTTTCCTTGCTTGTTTAGTTTGTAGTTCCATTAGACCTAAACCCCAAAAATATTTTGCTAGATAACAAATTAAGCGATTGAAGTAGGGGTACATGGACCTGCCCGGGTTGACAATTTAAATACTTGCTCTATACTGCACCCGGCTAGAGTCTAAAAACTTGGACTCTATTTGGGATTAATTTGTGGTGTAGTTTTGTGCGAGTCAATGCAGTGAAAAAAATTTTATCAACCAAGGTACTCTAAATTTAGTTGAAGGACAACTTATTTACTCAACATATAATTAAAGATAACTTGTCGTACCTACCTTGGTAATGCACATGACCCATCAACGCGTCCATGAAAACTCCAGCCCGACTTTCATGATTTGTCTTGTACTATGTTATTTCGTATTTAACTAAGTAACTATGAATGATACATCTAGTCAATTACCATATTGAAATAATCTATAAAAATTGGTATTCATAAATTGTCTTCTTTTAAACTCTCTCATTTTTCCAATCATGCATATTATCAGGAAATTTAGGATTTAATGATTAACCAAACTAAAACTTTCAAAAAATTGGTCACTTACAGTTTTCATAACAATATCACTGCTTTAATAGTTCTAAAAACTAATACCAATTTAAAAATTCTACATCACACCTACACATTCAATAATGAAATTCAATATGCAAAATTCAAATCAATGATATTTGCTTTGCAATTTTAAAATTATTCTCCATTTATAATAGGACATAAATTAAATTTACTATTAAACTCAAATTAAAATAATTAAAATATGAAAATTAAAATCAAATAACAAAGAAAGCACCTTCACGAGAGTTAGTAGGCTAGCTAACAATAATGAAAAAGTCATATAATTTTTAGATTTTAGGTTTTCAGATTTTCTATTGAAAAAGATACAAAATATTTCTATAGTGTAACTGATATTGGTTGTTGTCTTTGTTTGGAAAGACCATGGTTCAAATTACGAGATTGATGTTTTTTTTTCTTATGAATGAAAAGTAAATAATGATTGTGAAGACACAATTACCTTTCTATTTTCGCTCTCGTTACAGAAAATTCGAAATGCAGAAAAACTGCCCCCAACTCTACTGTAATATATTTGTAGATGCCAATCTCCTCAGTGTTTTGATTGTACTTGTATGATATCAAATTATCGATTGCAGTAGGGGTGGACTTGTGCATAATTTGTCCAACCAGCAAAGATGGAATCAATAAACGCACAACAATTCAAAATCAAGAAACAGTCAGCTCGGAGCCAAGATTCAAGAGTACCCGCATGACTGTATCCTCTTTTGAGTATACAAGTATATAAATGAATATAATTAAAACTAATAATGTCCTAACAATTTAGTTGATAATAGAGAAATAACCAACTAATACAATAATTGTTTTGATAAACAACTACAACGCGTTTTCATATTATTAAAGAAATGCAAAATACATTCGTTGGAAACACTCTTAAGTAAATAATTTTCAATGTATCCAACTAAACAATCATTAACAAACTGGTGACCAATTCGACTTCGAAGCTTGTTCTTGATATAGCTCAAAGTTGAAAATGCTCTTTCTATAAAGTCAAAACTAGACTCAGAAGCACATAAACTAATGAATATGACCGATGCACTTTTGTCTTCACCATTACTTAAGTTAATTCATCAATTCCTTTCAATCCATCAAATCTCTCCTTCGCCATAACACCATGATAATACCCAACAAGTTGCTGCAGAATAATAGGGACCACCGCGTTACGTATCGTCGTCCAGTGTCCCTACCCTAGTATGCCAACTGCGTTACGTCTCATCGTCCGGTTGCATATCCAACTCGGCAATGGCACTGCGTTACGTCTCGCTGTCCACTCCATGCCCAGTCAACTACTGCGTTACGTCTCGTCGTCCAGTAGTGATCCCAACAAACACAATCAACTGATGCGTTACGTCTTGCCGTCCAGCAGAGATCTGACCATCTACTGCGTCCAGTAGTGGCCCAACAGCCCGGGGGTTCATCTTACCATTAACCAACTATTACAACCATACATCCATACATTCATACATAGCACAACGCGTGCCTCCACCTTAAGTAGGCGGTGGGATGTCTCACACATATATCGCGCATTACTCAAAAATTAACTAGCATAACTTGAAATAAAAGGAATAAATCTAAAAGACCTCGACGGAGATTTTACCCTCTTTACACTCACCTTGTTAATCAACCCGATTCTCTTACATGAACTTGTAACATGATTTCGTGAGATTACACATGGCGAAGTGCCACATATCTTGGTCACTGTAATGGTGTCGTGATCAACTTGCCACTGTATATTGCGTCAACCGATGCAAGCATCAAATTAACTCATGAACCCTTGTTTCTAATTTCAGGCCACTAATTGATTCCTTCCCATCATCAGTAACCTCTCGGCAAGCTTTTACCCTTTTAATTTAACGACCCCAATAATCCACTGCCACAATTCCAAATCATCTCCCCATCCATTATTCTGGGGCCGGGTAGAATAACAACACCCTTAGTGTTGTTATAGTAACAACATCATTCATTAAGGGTATAAGGATAAATTAGCGAAAAACTAATAAACTAAAACTTAAATCAAATAGCGCATGTTGTCTCCCTCCCCAACAACAATTGCTCCTAGATCTGTATTTCATCCTCTCTGGCAACCGTTTCTTTCTCTCCAGTGACAAAAACTCCTCTAGTTGCCTGGGCACCTCCTCTGTCGGCTGCCAAAGGTGCCGAGCGAACCAAGAAAACGAGGTCAAACCGGTCAAACGACCAACCCGGACGACAAGAAAGCGGTGACTACAAACGCGATGGTCAGAGCAGCAGACGATAATAGGGCCGCAGATTAGGAACACGGGTGTCACCACCGCCAGTCCAATGAGTGTCCCGATGAGGTTTATTCTGGCAAGCGCAATGAGGGTTCCTCTGACTGGGGGCTCGGTCATGATTGCTATAATGGGAGAAGCGGATGGAACGGTTTGCTGGTACGGGCGGTCGCCTCCCTTAAATCCCCCTTCATAGCGGCGTGGGAACTGGGAGTGGACCTGGACTTGGTGGGGGTGTGTACGGTCCATTGTGGTTGAAGAATACTGGAGTTTGGCGAGGTTGTTTTGAGTTTAGAGAAAGAGTGGAGATGGCAGTGTGGAAGGGAAGAGATGGAAAGGGAGGGAGTCATATAAAAGCGGGGAAGGAAAGTTAGAAGGAAAACCACAAATATTTTATAAGTACACTAGAAATCTCCTAATACAAAGCACAAATTCGATAAATCAAACCACAAAAAATATACCAGAAACCTTCTAAACCAGACCGCAGATGCTCTAAACATCCCAGAAACCTCACAAAGCAAACCACAGAATTTTCAAAAACACAACAGAAACCTCATTATACAAACCACAAACACGGTAAAGCAAACCCCAAAAACAAACCAGAAACGCCCTAATGCAGACCAAAAATCTATTAAAACAAACCAGAAACCTCACAAAGCAAACCTCAAAATTTTTGAAAGCACACCAAAAACCTCATAATGCAAACCAGAAACACGATAAAGCAAACCAAAAAAACAAACCAGAAACCCCGCAAAGCAAACCAAAATTTTTTCGAAAGCACGCCAGAAACTTCCTAATGCAAACCAGAAACACGATAAAGCAAACCACAAAATGCATACAAAAAATATGAGATACCCAACCATAAATCTCACAATGCACACCACAATATCCGGTGATCGTTGACCAAACTCCGACGACCGTTAGTGAGCATATTCTGGCGCCGATAGACATATTCCGGCCCCGATGACTAGATTCCGACGCTTGTAAGCATATTCCGGTGACCACGACCGGATTCCGGCGACAGGCAACCAGATTCCGACGACCAAAATTTTAGGCAGAAAATAAAAAAAAATATTTTTACAATTTTTTATTTTTTATTATTATTTAAACAAATTTTTTACAATGACAATTATACCCCTACTTTGATTTTACACTAGGTCAATTTAGATAATAAAAAGTCATCACAACCCTAGCTTCTTATTGGTTGGAGACTAGTGTTGTTACAATAACAACACAAGGGGTGTTGTCACACTATCTAGTCCCCATTATTCCAAACTGTCCCACTGGTTTCATTCTAAATCATGAACTCCCTGAATCATGCGTCTAACTTATATTTCCAAACGATAAGCAACGACAGCATCATGCTTACCTACAATGTCCGTATTGAATCCACATTGATTCTCCTACCTGCTCCGCCACGATGAGGTCCTCTTGTTTCATGAGTTTGGTTCCTCGGTGATGCAAGGATCTTCCTTGCCAATACCTCGTTGTGGATCCGTCCCCAACTCCGATCGCCATATCTCTCTCTCCATGGCGGCGGTGGTTTGTAAAGAGAAAAGAGACGGCTAAGGGGAAGGGTCTAAGCGGCCACCGCGGCTGTCTAATGCCCCTCGAATATTATTAAAACCGAGACCCTTACTAACTCCAAGTCCAATTATATATATATATATGCACACGCACATGCTTGGTTAGAGGGGTTTAGCTTAGGTTTAATTAGCATACTCCAAAATCCATGGAGAGTAGTTTGGGTATTTCACAAAGTGTCCTAAGACCGGGTGGTACAACTTGTCTTAGTTAACGAGATCAACCAATTAGGCTACTCTCCTAATTAAAATGCTTTAAAAAGAAGTCGTAGTTTCGTTTTGGTCCATTTGAGTTTTCGTACTCAATCGTCGACCCAACTATTTATTATTATGATCAAACCTGAACAAAAATCGGGGTGTTACATACATAGTAAACCCTAAAACTAGGGTTTGGGGTTTAGAACCCTAGTACCTTAGAGGACTACTCCATAAAAGAGGGAAGAAAATACATTGTAGAAATAGAAGAAGACTTGGGATTGAAGAAGATGCCTCCTTTCTCCTAGCTCCACCTTCTTCTCCTTCTCTTTTCCTTCCTTCAGCTTCTCTCTCTTCTCTCTCTAGAAACCAGAAAATTTCTCTCAAAATCAGCTCTCTTCAAAAGGGCAAACTTTTCTTGTATTTATAGGCATTCTGGATTCGGGAAAGTTCGCGGCTTGAGGTAAGTAGATCGCGGGTGGGATCTTAGGTATTTGGGCCGTGATCTCAAAACGCAGTCGTCGAGGCCTTTGGGAAGGGGAAGATCGTGGGTTGACTTCGCGGTCGCGATCCACGAGTTGCGGCATCAATCTTTCTCGCGGGCAAGATGAATGTTGGCCGTGACTTGACTGAGGAGACTCTAGGTTTCTCCAAGAGTCCCTCCTCGCGAATTTCGAATACTAAGCCTCCAAGATCGAGGTCTCGATCTATGGTTTATGGGCCGCGATCTTCAGTTTGATTTCGCGGCTTGCGATCCTGGCCGTGATCTTTGGCTTCTAGGCCACGATCTTCAATTCCTGCCCCTTCTCTACACTTATATCCAGGATCACAAAATCCCTCCAATAACGGAATTTTCCCACCCGTACTAGCACGTTCTCCACAATGCCCCTAGGACTAATGACAGAGCGATCAGCCAATGTGACACTAAGCTTCATAGTCTTTAGTTCACCTATGTCTAGCCTCTTAAAAAGCTTAAATGGCATGACATTTATGCTCTCCCCTAAGCCCGCCAAGTAATTTTCTATGTGATGAGTACCGATGTAAAGAGGTATGGTGAAACTACCTGGATCGGGTTACTTCTTAGGAAACCTAATGAGGATGAAGGCTGAGCACTCCTTCCCTGGGGTGACATTGGCGAGGTCTTAACTTCGGCTTGAGGTGGCCCAATGAAAGAGCTTTGACCACATGCACACAAAAAATGTTACGTTCACCATAGCAAAATTGTTTTTTTTTGTTTATCAAAATTTAGAGGGTTTTAATCACAATTAACCTAGGTGTCTAATTCAAGTAGAGGTTTTCCCTTCATTAACCTAGTTAGGAGTCATGGAATGCCTAAGAAAACTCAAGTCAATTTTGAGCCTCTTAAGATAAAGGGGCTTCTCTCTAATCTAGGTTAGAATAGCTCAATAGATTGCCAACAACACACAATGCACAATTGCTTTTTTCATCGGCGCCTCTGTCCCTCACCTCTCTCTTCGATGGCGGCGAACACCGGAGAAGAAGAAGCTTCCAGTCACCTCAGTTCGTCCCCATCCGTAGTCTCCACTCTCTTCCAACGAGCTTCCACTCCAACCCTTCTCGTCGATGCCGAAGATCCCGTCTTCGTCGCCGTGTTTCAAACCAAAAAAGGATCGTATCTGTGCTGTCCTCCGCTTCTTGGTGCAATTAAATCTTAACATATGGAAATGAGTTTAAAACGAGCACAATGGACTGGGGGCAGATTTTATTGTGTTTTCCTGCTGCTGTCCTAGGGTTTGCAACATGTGTGAAATCAGTGGAGACAAAAATAGTAAATGGGACAGTGACAGTGAAAGGGTTGGTGGAGCAAGGGAAGCTGGCAGAGGATGTGTACAAGAAGATCAGAAAACCCTCCAAGTTCCGCCTGATAACCATTTTCTGCTTCTCAATTTGTTAATGACGATTATCTTGACCTATACGTTAGTTTTTTTGTAATATTTTCTATTCAATAATCAAGGTGAATCTTAAATGAAGAGTTATCTTCCTAGTGGGGGAAAATAGTCTTCTCTCCATGCACTTCCTCCTCTTCCTTGAACAAGCATGTCCAGGTTGTTGTTTTTATGCAATCTCCTTACATGCATTCCGATTTGAGAACAAAAATAGATCTGAACCCAAAAAATGGTTTTCGTGTATTCAAGCCATGAATCTTTGAAGATGAAGAATAGTTAACTTTCAAACCATTGAGTCCAGTTCCAACACAAAATGGACAAATCTATAACTAAAAAGAAAAAACAAATCATATATATAATAATGACTAGGGCACTTCTAGATTATACAGCACTCCAAGTGATATGATTGTTGAATGTATTTCTTTGTACTTTGGAAAATTCGAATCATCTATTATTATTTCTTATTAAATTAATTTTTCGTGTTTGGGTTTAGAGAATCGAGTTTTTTAGATGAATCCATTAGAGGTTAGGACATAGTATCATACATCAAACTTGATTTGTTTCATAATATAGTTAGAGATTTTAGTCACTAGAGTACCCCCGGCATATCGTATATTGCAACATGTTTCGGTGACTTGCAACTCACCATATGCATATCCAAATAAATTTTATAGGGGAAAGCATTAAAAGTTCAAGATTTTTTTTCTATTTTCTTTTTACTCCTCTCTTGGGTTTTTTCAGCAAGAAAAAGAACTCATTCAAATGTAATAAACCACACAAGAAATAAAACACACTCCGCTACAACCATCGATGGGCTAAGGGAAACTCAGATACTAGCCGCAGTATAGTGCGGCACCAAAACTAGTTTAATATATTATGGGGTCGTTTGGAGGTTAGGAATTAGTATTTGAGATGATGTATTGTGGTAACTAGATTCCTATTAAACACCCTAAATTTTTAAAAATTTCACCCTAAATTATCTCGATGGTCGATTCTACCCCCAATCCCAAAAAATGGTAGCCCCTATTTGGGGATGCTCCGCCCGTCGCCGTCCTAATTTCTCTCGCAAGCTCTGTTCCGCTAGACGCCGCTGCTACGCCGCTCGAGCACAATGCCGCTTGCTAGGGAAGAAGTCCATCCATCGCTCTAATTTTGGTCTCCCTAAGCGCGTCGTCGCTGCCATCTCCACCTCCGTTTCTGCTCCGCTCAAGGACGAAGAAGAAGGAAAAAAATATGGCGCCCTATATCCCTAATTTTGCTCTTTTCCGAGTCGTTGCTTCCCTGTCCTTAGTGAAGCTCTAGTCGGATTGTGGTCTCGGAGGTTGGATTGCAAATTGAGGGAGACGAAGAGGTGGTCGACGACAGAGGAGGTGGGCGGCCTGGTGGGCGGTGGCGGCAGTGGCGGGGAACTGAAGTGGGCGGTGGCGGCAGTGGATATTTATGCGAGATTATCATTGTCGTCATCACACCCAACAGGAGAAGGAAGGTCGGGAGGAAGGAGGCGACGTGGGGGGGGGGGCGAGATTTCAAACCGCCTGTTCCTCCTTGGCCGGCCGGGATTTTC